GGGGGAATTCAAGAACATTCTCTCTTTTTTGTGACACTATTTGTTTGTTCCTATAGTTGTTGGTTGCCCTAAAAGTTCGTTATCCTCAGCGGATTACCATTCTCAGAGGAAACCATGAGAGCCGCCAGGTATCTGTCATTCCCATTACACCCCACCCCACCCCAAAGTGGAAGAAAACAATAAAAAAAAAATAAAAAAAAAAAAACCTTTTTTAATATTGCTTTTCCTATTAACTCTGAACCATTGACGACTGTGCTGAATGTAGTGCTAATTATTTTCATTCTTTCTCTTTTTGGCAGATTACTCAGGTTTATGGGTTTTATGATGAGTGTCTGCGAAAGTGAGTTTTCTTTACACAAATTTGGTTTAGGAGATCATAATTGAGTGGCTATATATTATATCTACTGATTTATGTACTCCTCTCCATCTTCTAGTGCATTAGCTTTCTCAATGGTCCCTTTGGGCTGAAATATGGCATATAAATGTTACTATTCCAGAGAAAAGCTTCTGTTTAGGCAGAAGGCACTCTATACTTTGTTCTTTTTTTTTTGCTTGTGACATGCAGTCCTTCATGCACTGTCAGTCTATTGTTAAAAGATTTAACATACTTGATGAAAGTTTTATTGAAATCTGTGTTTTTGTAACAGTTCAGGCCAGTTATTTCCCCTCTTCTGCTAACAAAATACATAGTGACTCTATAATGGCTTTGATGAAATTCACATGTCAAACTTAGTTCCTAGGGGCATGTCTGAGTTGAACATTTGGTATAACTCTCTACTATTGTGGAACATCTGTTACCCATGCTTCATGCAAATCCATGATGATACTTTCTTCTTACAGGTATGGCAATGCAAACGTTTGGAAGATCTTTACAGACCTTTTTGACTATTTTCCATTGACTGCTTTGGTTAGTAAAGAGTAATACTTCGTATTTTCACATATTACTCATCATAACCATGTGCCTGCAGAGCCAATGTTAAAGGTGATTGTAGTTGAAGAATGTTGTCCTTCTCAAATAACTGATGCTCTTTTCTTCTTTATAGGTTGAGTCAGAAATATTTTGTCTGCATGGTGGCTTGTCCCCTTCAATTGAAACCCTTGAAAACGTAAGGAACTTTGATCGTGTCCAAGAGGCTCCTCATGAGGGCCCAATGTGTGATTTATTATGGTCTGACCCTGATGACAGATGTGGCTGGGGTATTTCACCTCGTGGAGCTGGATATACTTTTGGTCAGGTAACTTTTATTAAAAAGGAGTGTGGCCTTAAATTTTTTTTTTCCTGCATATATGCCATGCAATTTCCTTGTCAAAACTTGATGCATTTTTGTCCCTGCAGGATATATCTGAACAATTCAATCACAAAAACAACCTGAAGTTGATTGCTAGAGCTCATCAGCTGGTTATGGAGGGATTTAACTGGGCACATGTAATTATGATTCTTCAAAATGACAAATTTTTTTAACAATGACTTCAATATTTTGCCTTTTTCTCTTTCTTTAACGCTTACTTCCCCGGGACAGGAGCAAAAAGTGGTTACAATATTTAGTGCCCCCAATTATTGCTATCGCTGTGGAAACATGGCTTCCATCTTGGAAGTTGATGATTGCAAAGGCCACACATTCATTCAGGTCTCTATCTGATTCTCTCCTCCTTGCCTTCCTTCCATATTCCTTTTCTACACATGCGCATGCAGCATTTGGATGGATTATATTCTTGTGTATGACATTGAGTTCAATGTGCTACAGTTTGAACCAGCCCCAAGAAGAGGAGAACCAGATGTCACACGTAGGACACCAGATTACTTCCTTTAAAGCAGTTGTCTTTACATCACGATGACTCCAGTTGGTCTATTCCCCCTCTTCCCCCTTTCTAGGTGATCAGGTGGTTGTGGATCGATCTTAGAAGATATCTGTCACATTTGGTATCTTCAACTATAGTTTTTTTGTGGCATGATTTTGGTAACTATCCGCAACAAGCGTGTATAATAGGCTAAGAAAATGGCCTTTAATCTGTCTTAAC